TAAATATAGTTTATAGTTAACAGGGTCAAAGTAATGCAGAAATTTAAAAGATTTAAAACTTTATAAAGTATTCTAAGATTAAAAAAAATAATGAAAACAATTCTTGTAAAAATTCATTATTCATCAAAAAAAATTTTTTTTAAGACAATAGAATCCTTAATATATTTTATTCACAAAAGTAATTTAAAGCTTTTCTAATTAAATAATGTCTGTTTTATTGCATTCTTTATTTTATGATTCAGAGTTGATATTCACTAACTGGTGTTTCTGTTTTATGAAAAAAAATTATTTAAATTCTCCAAAGAGTTCTGCATTTGACTAATATAAATATTAAGCTAGTCAAAATTTAATTTCTCAATTTCTTGAAATTAAATAAGTTGAGAGTAACAAATGTAAAAAAAAAAAAAAATAAAAATATTTTTACCAAGATTTTATTAAAAAAAAAAATTTCTAAACTAATTTCATTCATTTGTGAATAAGTCCTGAAAGTTTCATTAAATCGTACAATTATTTGATTTTTGCAAGAATTTCCAAATCATTGTGTTTTCACCGCAAAAAAATGTTAAAATTTTCTATACTAATCCATCTTTTATTTCTCCTGCTGATGCAAGAAAAACAAGATTTTTGACCAAAATTTTGAATGTGCTAAAAAGTATTAAAAAAATATAAATAATCAAAAAATTCTTTAGTCTTTCCTTCAAAGATTTTAACAATAAAACTTTGTTTTTTATCAAGTTCGGGGCATTTTTTCATTATGGTATGCTCTTTTTTTCAGTGAATTAGTGGGGGTACCTAATTTACAATGTGATTATGTTTTACTTTGTTGCTCTAAAAAGATTGATTAACTACATTACATAGTTGAATTGTGTATTTATTTTAAAATAAAAAATGTTAACAAAAAGTTTTATCAAGAAAATAGTGATCAAAATTTCTAATCATTATTTTTAAATATATTTTATTTTCTTTCTTATTTTTAAAGTTCATATCCTGTACTCGATTTACATTATTCGGACTATTGTCCTCATCTTTGTCGCCATATTTATTACAGCATTTCGGTTGTTGTATACTCCGACCTTCTTCAGGTGGTTGGAATGTTGAACTGAACCCTTTATTTCGCTTACTGGGGTAGACTGTTCTAGTTCCACATGCTATGTTTAATGGATATCAGTTATCTCCTGTTAATTCCCCTCTCCAAGTTCTCCACTGCCTTAACTGGGTATTGAACTCACACTCTTTGGATCCTGTCACTGGATCTAACTAACACCTAAGTGGATAAAACTCTCTAAATTTTAAAAATCTCATTTTTTGTGAATGTCAGTGTGTCACACTTTTTCAACTCCTAGAGGCAGTAGCCCAACATATCAGGCCAACTCCATGAGCAAATTAAAAACATTCTGGGCCTGCAATCCTGAAATTTTGGATCCCCCAAGTTTTAATTACTGGGATTGTTTTGGGGTTTGTTTTTTGTTTTTCTTTTTGTTTTTTTTTTTTTTGTATTTTTTGCGACAAATCATTTTGTACAATAACCATTTTCATAACTTACAAATAAATTTGAGAATGATCAAAATTAATTGCAAAATCAAAAGAAAAAGAATTTTCTGTGCAAATGAAAACACAGATCAAACAGCAGCCAGGAGAGCTTCCAAAGCTGAAAATATGCAAAGACTTAGGGACTCTCAAACCCCTGAACAAGCTGAAGGCCTAATTAAGAGACCCCCCCGGGGGGGGGGGACAGGAGTTAGCTTAAATGCCACTCAATCGGGCAGCTTTTAAGGTAGTAATAATTACTACAACTGAAATGATAATGTTTCTGCTGATTTGTGACAAGGATATTAGTAGTTGTTATAAGTTATTTTCACAAGTAAATAACTGGTCTTTATTCATAGGAATTTTGTGAAATCCCTTAAAAATTTTAGTGATTACATGAAGTTCTTGAATAGGGTAAGAGAATTTAGAAAATATTCAGAGGTTTCAAAATTTTTTAGTTTCACCACCTTACTGTACCATGCACATATATAAAATAAATTACTCTGTAAATTTTAGCTCAGGAGAGCTTAAATAAATTTAATCTATAAAATAAAAAAAAAGTAGTCAGTTTTATTAAAGTTTGCTTATTTGATTTTCTATATATATTTTAATATATACATATATTTAACATTAAAAATTTACACCACTGATTTTCATATCAACTTTTTACAATATGAAATAATTTTTATGTCCTAACTTCTTCCAATTTTTCTTGTTTAAGAAAATGGAATCGACTCTTATAAACAATGTTGTGTTTTTCCACATGCCATTTTCTCGTTGACTATAAATGTTTGAGAATTTCTTTTGAAAATAATTCTTTGCTTTATATCACTTGGTCTGATAACTGTTTTTATAAGGAAATATCTATGACCTACACATTTTTCAAATCAAGAAAGGATTATCATAGCCAACAGGTTCATAAATTCAACTAAATAAGTGTGTATCACAAGCTATACATAGTTTCAAATGATAATTATTTTTGGTCATGATTAGTTTCATTTATAATACAAGAATTACTGTTTTAACTTGATAATTAAATAGGTGTACCTTTTTTTTTTTTTTTTTAAATTCATCTGCCATTGCATAACAAGAATGCAGACATTTATTTTATAGAATTAGGTTTTATTTTTACATGGTGTTGATCTTGAATTTTCATGTTGAAGCAAACATTGAATTTGATCACAACTAAACAAAACAACATTGCAAAAATAAATATAAAAAATTATAATGGCAAAAATACGATCTGTAAACAGATTGTATTTTTGTCATAATTTTTTCAGCATTTTTTGACTGTGTAGTTAGTTTTGATTTTTTTTTTTTTTTTTTTTTCTTTCCACCTGTTACTTTCTACCTGTTTCTTTCCTCTGTTACTGTTGTCTTAGAAACCAGTTTTTAGTCACTTTCCATTTTAAGATACATATGCACAAGCAACAAATTTTAGTCTACTAAAATGTACCGTTTAAAATTAAAGATTTTGTACTTATATACTTTTAGTGCCAAGTGAAGATTAAGTTGAACAGCAATGACTTATAAATGATATTATTAGTATTTAACAAATAAAATTATTGTTTCAGTATTGTCTCCTGCCTACATTCTAATTGCTCATATTCACAATACCATTTTATAAAAATGTTATGATTGGAATAGAAATTTATGAGATTATTTTATTAGTTGATTTGTAATGGATGCTTAATTTTAGGCTATTGTCATTATGGTGAAACATAATATTTAGGAAAAATAAAGTATTTTTTGTTTCTGTTTAATAAGTGAATTCTATCTTGTTTGACTTTGTTTAGTTTCTCTACAAGGTCAAGTAGTTTTGTGGGGATATATTAATAGTCCTCAGTATATTGGAAATTTGTTGATTGTTTAGGTGAAATATTTTGTAAAGGATCTAATTCAAGAAATTCTAAGAAAATGCATGCTAAAACCCTGTTTCAAGGTAATCCAAATTGTTTTATATTATTTATAATGGTTTTATATTTTCAGTATCCTGCTGTCCTTTGCTCTTTAAGTTGAGTTTCATAATTTAGTCTGAAATGCTCCAGTGTCCAGCAATGAATGAGCATATTTTTTTTTTTTTTTTTTTTAACCAGTACCAACAATGTGGAGTCTAGGTTATTTACTTATCTTTAGTTTCCTTGACAATCTGAAATCTCCATAACTTTAAACAGTTTTCCTATCTTTGTATAAACTTCAGCATTTCTGATTCCTTGTTTTTGATTTCTCAGATATTCTTTCTTCCATCCCAGTTCACTCCATTTTCTGCTTTCATTAGTTCATTTTATTCACTTTTATTTTACTTAACATTTTTTTAAATCCATTTCTGGCTTGCTAGGCCCATCATAACTTCATTAGTAAGAGGAATTACAATGATGAACAGTTAGTAAGTCTAATTCCATCACAAACATTTTCTATCAGCACAAGTCCAGACAAATAGAATGGCCTTCAAACTGCCTCACATATTGACTATTAGGATGGGAGCAGCAAAAAGACTGCCAATTTAGAGACAGATAACAAACCTATCATCCAGTTCAACAAACAGAAACGAAGAGTGAGTGAATAATAGAGTGAAACAGATCAATCTTAGGAAGCTATGGATGATAAAACTAGTGTAATAGAACAGGGAGGCATGAAGGACAGTTTACAGAATATATTTATGAAAGATGAGAACATAGAAACATCTTGATCAGTTTTTAAAAGAATGATTTTGAAGATTAAATGAAGAACATTGTGGAAAGTAAAAAAAAAATAAGTAATGAGAAAGGCAAGTTAACTGGAAAATCCTGGCTGACTATGGTATCAGCTGTTTGACAATATCAGAGCTTTGTACACCACTGCTTGGTGGTGACATGAGGGTGGAGGCAAACAAAACTGTCCTTTTGCTGTTTTTGTTTATTATCTATAGGAATAGAATCACTGAAAGGGCAATCAAAATCTAGAGATGTTAAATATACTATTTATTTCTACTGAGGGCTTAATAAAATAAAGATTAGCTTCAGGATCATGTTAATGAACTGAACACTATGTGTAAACATCATGGTATGTGAATTAATACAGGAAAGACAGATGAAAACTCGGATATTTTCATCAGTGTTATCCAATTGAAACACTAACGAATTCAAATAATTAGGTACTGTCTTCACTGAAGAGAGCAAATTAGAGAGGCACAAATGTGAAAATCAATATTAATGTCAGCTTCCCTACTATAACGCTATTGACATGTCCATAGTAATGAAGTTCTGGGTGATTGCCCATGCTAACCAAACTCCAAAGGTGGAAAATCACTGTGAAGTGTCTCGGATTACCTGCATATAAAAATATAAAATGCTGGGGGATCTAATCAATATTATGAATTACAATTTTTACCTAAAAAAATCAGTTACCAAGATATTTCTATAAATTTGTTTTCCTTTTTCCAGACTAACTGCACAACTGATTGTAATTTATTAATCAACTTTAGAACTGATCTAATGATGTCTGAAACGTAAGTAAACATTGAAATTGACTCCATACCAGATGTAACAGCAAAATTGTCCAAATCATGTAACAGCATGTAATAATTGTCCATCCCACAAAATGTTTAATATCTAAAAAAACCACTAAACTTATTGTGTTTCTTTTTTACAGGTTTTCAGATAAGATGTCATCTTGACACCATTTATTGTAAGAATTCTAACACTTTCACCCCAGCCCCTCAACCTCCGACGTCTTACTCTCTGGGTTGAGGTGTCTACTCGGTCATAACCAAACTTAAGGGAGTGGCCGTAGGTCCCTGAGCATCTGTAGATTATTTGACCAGTCCACTGGTTTAATCCTACTTCCTGCCCACGTTGTTTGATTTAGAATGCAGCAAAAATAAATTAATATCTGCAGAAAGTCAGACAAACAACTATTCAATGATTGAATTGTTAATGTCTTTTATATAGCAGAAAAGAATAGTATAGAAAAGAAATGGGTTACAGAAAAGAAAGGTAATTGACGTAAAAATGCATACACTGGATTCTGGACAGAGAAAGAGTGTGTTATGATTAACTTGTTGTTAAATCGTCTCAGAACAATATACGACTCTTGCGATGGGGGAATAAGATTTCTGTGCATGGCTTAAAGTTTATAGTGGCGTTCCTCCTTAGCACTAGTAACAGTAGTAGTAATATTCATGGTAGCAGAAGCAGCGGTTCCAATCTCTGATGTCACGTTCTCTCCTTGATTCTCCAACTCGACTCTACACTGTCTCTGGCCCAACTCTTGCCCAGGCTAATTCTGCTTCTTTTTCAGCATAACTACGCGTTTATATAGAAAAATTTGGCTAGTTACAACTGAACCTTGGCCCTACTACTTTGCATGCGATTATCACGGAGTTATGGCTGTTTCAACCAAAATCATGTGAATTCTAAAGGTCCTCCTTGCTTACTCAGCTCTATTCCAAGTTTTAATCAATAAAAATTATTTTCACCTTTTCCATTGTCTCTTAATGACCCAGTTCCAATGGGTACAGCTCCTGCCTCCTTCACCATCAGTAAACAAAAATGCTCTGATCTAATTTTGCTGTTCAAATCCACTCCAATTTCACTAAAAAAAAAAATATGCATGTGTGTTTCTCAGACTCTCTGTCACAGAATCACTGAAAAATCCTTTCAGTTATTCTGCTAGAAAGAGAACATATTAAAATCATTTTGTGTCGACACTGCTGTTTTCCCAAATGTGCAATGGTGAGAGGGAAAAGATCATTCAGGCCTTCAATAATGTATAAACATTCATACTTTGGCTTCCATCTTCAAAGTCCATTCAAGAACAATCAAGAGAACAGTGAATAAGATTAAAAAAGAGGGAACAGTACAGAGGAAAACCGGATCAGGCGGTCACAGCAGGAAGATAGATCATCATTTTTACTTAGAGCTAAAGAGGTCAATTAAAAAAAGATCCAACTCAAGCCATAAGACATTTGGCATGTGAGGGAGGAGTTTCATCTATGACAGTCGAAAGAGCAGTGAAAAAGACTTGAAAATGAAATTGTAAGTGAAACCTGTGAGGTGCTTTGTTACTCCAGGACAGAAAGTTAGGTTAGAGAGAGCGAAGATCTTCTTGGATAAGTTAGAAAATGATCCTGGAATTATATATATATATATATATATATATATATCTCTTACTTATTATAAAACGCAGATTGTGTGTCGGTACGTTTATATATTGGATCGGATTTCCTACATTTTTCAACCGATTTCAACAAAACTTCACAGGACTACGTAAAATTACCTTGCGGTGGTTCTGACAGCATCAAAAATTGGAAAAACAATTGTTTTTGCACAAAATCAATTTGAAAACACAATAAAACACGATTCTGTCGCCAGAATGAAAGGAGGACAACTCATATCTAGTTATACTTATTATAAAACCCAGGTTGTTTGTGTGTTTGTTTATATATGGGATCGGATTTCCTACATTTTTCAACTGATTTCAACAAAACTTCACTTTTTTTTTTTTTTTTTTTTTTTTGGCAGGTAGTGTTTCTTATTGTCTTGCACATTTTTCTTTATTTTTACATTCAGAATGCTTTAAAAATTCCATTTACAAGACAATTGTTTATAATAAAATTCTATTCAATCGATAGACTCATAACGATTGAAAACAATGTTCTTGTTTGACTTTGGGTTTGACCAATTCGTAAAAAAAAACAAAAAAAAACTAATTAAAACATGCGTGTCCATCAACCTTAAACAATAATCTTTGTCAATTTTATTTTTCAGTCTTTATGATGGTCGATACTTGATCCATCTCTTACTGTTACATCCCTGGGCAACGCCAGGCTCTACTGCTAGTATATGTATAATTTATTCAAATTTATAACATGCATATTATGAAATCACTACAAAAATTGCAAATTTTGTAGTGATTTTATAACATATATATGTTATAAATTTGAATAAATATTAGCTCTACTCGGCTTGGTATTGAGCACTCTCTTAAGAATAGTGTTTCTGGTTACCGGTATTTTATTCCATGTGTACCAACCCTGTACTTTGTGTGTGTATGTATACAGTATGTATGTATGTATGTATGTGTGTGTGTGATTCTTCTGATTCTTAGCTATGATTAATTGATGAACGTGTTATTTTCATTTATGATCGATTTCATCACGACTCTTCTGTTAAGCTTGGAGAGTAATTATACATTCTTATTGCTCATAGTAGTGTCCAATAGTGTTATAAAAACCTAGAAGAATTCCAGTAAGATATCTTTAATTATTTTTAAGATACAATGGTTCAAAGCTTAATGTAATGTAACAAATGGACAATTGCTGTTACATGATTTGGACAATTTTGTTATTACACTTGGTATATTATTTATAATCATCTATACTGCATATCATTATGGTAACAAATTATAAATTACATTGAATTGTTTCGGAAATAATCAATTTATTTTTTATTAAGTTTTTTTTATTTGCAGGTGAATAAATCCTAAATTAAATTTTTAGAAAATTTTAAAATTTCAATTTATCTATGACCATGCTGTTATAATTTAACTCTCTTATTTTGTAAGTTTTACCAAATGTCAAAATATGTTTGTGTAAATAAATTAGTTCTAATAAAAATGAAAAAGAGAAACAATAATGATTTGATTTCTTTGTATTCCCAATTTCCAGAGTACTGACTGAGATTGCAGAAACAGCTAAAAATGCTCGTGAATATGCAGTCATGGGGAATTATGAAACTTCCTTGGTTTATTATAATAGTTTGCTTTTAAAAGTCCAAAAACTAATTGATACAACTGACAGAAATCGACTCAATACATGGAGTAGAGTGAGTTTAAATTTTTTTAAATTATGTGGTCACAATGAGTGTATGTTTGTGCTTAAATGTATATTCTGCAAGTCTGCAGTTAAAACATCATTTTGGGGAAAAGTTTTTTCATTACCTTTTTTAAATCTTGTTCTATTAACGTTTTCAATTACATATTGATCATACTTAGAAGTTTATGATAAAACAGGTGATTATTTTTTTTTTTTTTTTTAATAATAATAATGACTGTCATGTGTTTTTATACATCACTGTTGACACTAACGTCAACCCTCGGTGGTGACAGTCTTTTATGTTTGAATGCAATTTTCAGGCATGATGATTGTATTCAAGCACAAAACAGACTGTCGGCACTTAGTATTGATCTCAGAGTCTACTTTTGTATTTGCATATCATGGATATTGAGCACTTTCACTTACCTATAGATATATAGTATACCGTAAAAATATTTTTGTATATATAATCTCATACAATAGGAATTAAGGTTACATTAGGTTACTGATCATTTTCACCTTTTGTAAATTGAAATAAAATTTACAAGGATTTTTCAAACCAGTCAATGGATGATAAATATTTTAAAAAATTTTATATTGTATAAATAGGATTCACTTGGATTATTACACACACACACATATATATATATATATATATATATATATATATATATATATATATATATATATATATATATATATATATGACATGTTTGGCAGCAGGGGGGGAATATTCAACATTTGATAATTTTGTGGCAGTATAAAGGTTTTGATCAACATTTCTTTTCATGGTTAGCTGTAAGTACTTGTGAATGTAGGACTACTTTACATTTGTTGTTAGGTATTTTTCATTTTCTTTTTTTATTTGCAACATTTTAGAATACTTTGACTGCAATACTAAGTTGAACAAACTGGAGCTATTTTGTTCACACTCTTTTCCATTGTTGTTTTTAGATTGCTTTCTTCCTGTCATTTTGATGGGCAATAGTGAAATTCTGAAGTTTAGAATAATCTTATTCCATTTCAAAAATAAAGCCTATAAAAAGGAATATTTTAAATTAATATATGACCAAAAATAAAATGCTTTTGACAAAAAACCTTAATGATTTCGCTATAATTATATAACAATATTCCACAGTCAAATCTATGGTTTATGTTACCTCATTTCATTGTATGGTTACAAACTATAAGCCTAAATTGAGCTTGAAATATTGTGTAATTGGCTCTAATTTTTGTAAAATACTTGAATATGATATAATGAATAATTTGCAGTGAAAAAAGCAATTTTTTTTTTTTTTTTTTAATACACTCCTCTTCTGCCAAGCACATCATACATATATAAACAGCAATCGGCTAAGTGATAAATTTTATATTTGTATGAATTATATATATAAAATGCATTTGAACATTTGTTTCAATGAAATTTTTTCTTGAAAATTATTCCTTCATTTGACTTTACATTTTTCTTTGTGAAATTATTGTTAAAAAAAATATTTCACTGTTTTCAAAATCTCTTAACTGTATATTTTTATTGGTTTCATTTTTATCATCAAATTTGCATTCATAAAATTATTTTTACTCTTATATCACACTTTAGGAAATTAATTTTGAAAAAATTGTTTTTCATTTTAACTCGGTAGTTTTTATAAATATATATACATTTAATTACTTTGTCAGGCAAAAATTTATTTCACAAAGGAGTACAATGCAGTAAAAGACATCCTTAGTATATTGACTGGCATGCAGAAATCAAATCCTCAGTCAAACATTCATTTTGTTCATGAAGAACCAACACGGGATCCTGAGAGTTGGCCTCTTCCAACTCCTGTTGAACATAAGTAAGTTTGTGTCTGAGATTCATTTTATCAATCATTTGAAAAAAACTTTAACAATTAAAAAAACAAATGTTTGAAACATGAACTGTTTATTCATATGTCAATTTTACATTTACATTTTAATATCTAACCATCAGGAGAGTGGTTAGAATTGAAATTAAATAAGAATCAAGCTAAACTAAAAAGTTTAGCTTGATTCTTATTTAATTTCTGCTTATGACAATGAAAATATTTTGATAGTTATGTTCAGTTATAGTATATTAGTTCATGTCACTCTTCTAAGACTAAATCTATCTTTGCATGAATTGTCTTTAACATACAAATGCTTTATAATTCTTGTTTTCAGTTTAAATTGGTCTGTAAGGAAAAACAAGTGCTTTACATAGTATTTTTCAATTTTGCTTTCTCTAATTATCTATTTGCATATAAGTAATTAAAAAATAACAATCTTTTTGTGTAAAAATAATCTGTTTTGTCAAAATTTACTTTGTATGAAAGAACAAGTTATTTCATTAGCAAAATATGTGTGTATATTAAATTGAAAAACTTGTCTTTGTTTACATCAATTTTAGCTTTTAAATACATTTTTTCTAACTCTTCACTTTTTTTTTTCTTTTTTTTTTTTTCCTTCTTTGTTCAGACCATCTCCAAATATTCGAGGAGGATATAGAGCCCCTGTAAAAAAGGCTGAACCCAAAAAGCCTGTATCTAGAGCAGCTCCTAATGATCGACGAGCTAAACCATCATCTGCTGACCGAAACAAAGACCGAAGTGGACGGGAAAAGGGAAGAAAGCGGGTAAGTTTCATTGGATACACTCTTGCTGGTCATAAATTATGATTTCATTTTGATATTAAAAATGTAGTAGATGAAATTAATTTTTGAAAACCTACCTATAAATAATATTTGATTAACTAATAAAGTAGATGCTATTTATATTTGAAAGTTTATTTACTTGAACATTTGGACAAATAGCTTCAGAAAAAAAAAAGAATATTGAAAGAATTGGAAAATTTGAGAAAGCAACACTGTAAACCACATTGCAAAATATTGTGTGAACATAAAAATCAGACCCAAATGAACACTGCACAAAATTTAAGAGTAAATCCTCTTCAAAAAGAGAAAATTGAGAAACCAATTAAAAAGCAACAATCTGTATTATGTAAATTTAAAAATTGTTTACCTTTTAAGATTAACTTTTATATTTTTTCTTTAGTTGTCAAATGACTGGAAAAATTAATATAATAATATGAAGATTTCAAGACAAGTCAATGGTTGAAGTGAGAATAATTTGTATACATTCTTTAGTAATTTTCCAAGTAGTTCAGGAAACAATTAGTATGTCTTCTTAGAAGATTACTAAAATGATTTACTATTGTGAGATGGCAAGCACTGTCGAAGAGATGTTTCTCTTCAGTTACTGATAAATTAACATCATTCATTATTTCACAGCACAGTCATTTCATTGTCATATGATTTTTTTTTCTTTGAAGCCTGGTTGTGTTTTGGTAGTATATTTTTTTATTATAATCTACCATTGGAAAATAGATTTTACTGTAGGATTAGCAATCTATAACTAAAAAAGTGCTACACATAATGTCTGTTCATTAAATTTTTTTAGATTAATTCTGGATAACCTTAATGTTTACAAAACATTTTACAGATTTATTTTTTCTGTTATATTTTTCTTATGTATTTTTTTTTTTTTTTTTTTTGAATAATAATTATGTCTATTTTCTTTAAAAGTATTAACATATAAAATTTAATTTTTCTGTCGACCATTAGAATTATTGTATTTTGATATATGAAACATTCTGTGAATTAAAGTGAGTTTATCTCAATCAAAGCCAGATAATTATTTTTTATAAGTTTCCAATATAAAATAGGCAATGTTTCTGGGTCAGAGAAAAAAAAATTTGAAAAGTAATTTTCAAATTTGTAACAAAATAATTTGTTTTTTAATAATTCAGTTTTAAATTGAAAAAAAAACACAAAATCTGACTTTCTTTTTTTTTAATTATACATAAGAAGTTCTGAAAACTTAAAAGCAAAAATACCACCCTTGTGGTATTTTGAAAATTGACTTACTGCTGAAAAATTCAATTTTATGTCAGTGCCTAGGAAATAACAAGTACATTTCAAAAATGTAAAACCAGTAACTATCAATTAAATATGTTTCAGAAAGATATGAGTGAATAACACTTTGTTATTAAATTAGATCTATTTTCAAGGTCACAATTTTTGGTATGAATTAGATTGATTTAAGAAATTAAAGCCTTAATGAAAGAACAAATTTAACCAGACCTGTAAACTAAATTTTTTTTCATGAAATTGTGTGTGTGTGTGTGTGTGTGTGTGTGTGTGTAAAAACTTTGACACCTTTTCATGATTTAATGTCATCTAGGAAGATGAAGAAAAGAAATTTGACCCACCAGGTATTGATAAAGAACTTGTCGCCAATCTGGAAAGAGATATTGTCCAACGAAATCCTAATGTTCACTGGTAAGTTGAACTTGTTCATAATCTAATTGCTTTTGTCAGTAAAATTTATGCACATTTTTGAATATCTTGATTTCCATTTTTTTTATTGACTAGTACAGGTATTTTGGTTTTAAAGTATTGAGAAAAATTGTGTGGTGAATTTTTATTTCAGGGGAGATATTGCTGATTTAGTTGAAGCTAAAAAGTTATTAAAAGAAGCAGTTGTTCTTCCTCTTATCCGGCCAGATATTTTCAAAGGCATAAGGCGACCATGGAAGGTATGAAAAATTGTTTTCTCTGTCAATTAAAAAAAAAAAATCATCTTTTTAAAAATTATTTTTACGCAACTTTAAATTAATCTATCATGATTTTAGCTTAACCTGTTTTATCTTGATCGTAACATAAAAACTAAATCAAACTTTTATGTTTTACTTTGGACTTTGTCAACTGAGAATAAATATAGCAGCTTTTACAGCGTGATTATGAGATTTTGTAAATAAATAATTTCCTGTGAAATAAAGCATGTTTTTTTTATGGTCTAACACCCTTGGGAAAGGTATGATTTAAACTATTCCTTGATGAAAGGAAATTAGTGACTATACTATTGGAAATTTTGATTTTGTTTATTTCATCCAAAAGAATAAAGAACTTGGTCTTTCCTTCTTGCACATAAAGATATGTTTTAAGATTAAATTTATTCAAATCATGTTTTTAAATTTTATTTTCTTTGAAAATCACTAATTTTAATTGTCTGCCTTCCCCTTTCTTTATCAGGGAGTTCTCATGGTTGGACCCCCTGGCACTGGCAAAACAATGCTTGCTCGAGCCCTGGCTACTGAATGTGGAACGACCTTCTTTAATGTTTCTTCTTCAAGCCTCACATCCAAATGGAGAGGAGAGTCTGAAAGACTTGTCAAGCTTCTTTTTGAAATGGTAAAACTGATTTTTTTTTATAAATTTTATATCTATTCTTTATTACAACAAATTTTCTATCATTTCTTACTAATTACTATATTTAGTGTAAAAAAATCCATTTTCAATTAAATGTTGGCACAAAATTTTTTCATTAAAATTTCCAATTACAATGTTTACCAAATTCTGACATAAAGGCTAGTAAGTAGTGTATCCTACCTTTTATAAACAAAAATCTGTAAGAAAACAACTAAAATTATTTGATGTAAAAATGGGTAAATTGGCTCTGACTCTATTAATAAAATGAGACTCTTATTATAATAGAATTGATCCTTCAAAATCTTCAGAAGTTCTTTTTCATTGGTTTTATCTTTACTTCTTTTCAGGCTAGATTCTATGCTCCAAGCACTATATTTATTGATGAAATTGATTCAATTTGTTCACGTAGAGGAGGAGATGAACATGAAACAAGTAGAAGGGTTAAATCAGAATTGCTTGTTGAAATGGATGGTATGTTAAATTTTTTATAACTGATATTTTCTTATGTTAATGTAGTGCTTGTATTAAAAAAGACAATTCTTAAATTTAACTTTACACAGGAGTTGCCAGCTCCACTTATGATGATGATAATGAAAGCAAAATAGTGATGGTTTTGGCTGCTACTAATTTTCCATGGGATTTGGATGAAGCTTTGCGACGAAGACTTGAAAAGAGAATATATATTCCGTTACCTGATGGTAAGTAAACAATTAATATTCTGTGTGCATTTGTGTTTCCCAAGATGATCACAGGTTCACTCTAAATTAACTCTAATAGAACAATTTCTAATCTGTATCTGTGTTATCAGTTGTGGGAATTCATATAGATGCAGTGTCTGACTTTCTTTTTTTTAATAAGACTGTCTTTTAATTTTGATATTTTTATCAGTCTTTTAAAAAAAAAAAACACATATGACACAACTATGTGTGACAACCTCAACATTTTTTCTTTTTCAAGAATAGAATCAAAATTTTATTTCTGGTATTATAAGACTTTGTAAATGATCATCTTGGTAGGAGTTCTGTTATTGTGGTTAAGAACGTTGGTTGGAGAGGGTGAACTAAGGCTCCATTCCCAATCACATGAAAAGACAGCACAGCAGGACTCTGGTGGAATCATTCTTTGCTGTTTGTTTTATACACATCTTCATGGTCAAAGCCATGTAATTGTTACATGTACTTGAGTCATGTAACTAGATTATGTGCTTTGCCTTCATTTGACCTCATGTAATAATGACATGTCTTTTTTGATCACACCCATTTGACTTTCTGTATTCAAGGCACACTACTGAATATATGACATGATGTGCTTTTTGTAAAAAAATTTTTTCTTTTTACTTGTTTTCTTTCTCTCTAAAATTTAAATGAAGGTATCTTGTTAAAATTTGTAAATATTTCAGAATTTTGTATTGTTTCTTTTTCATTATTTACAATTTTTTTCCAGTGTATGATTTTTTTAAATTTTTACTGTATAAAAATGTAGAAATTATATTTTCACAATTTTATCTGCTTTTCAAAGAAAGTATTCTTTGTAATTGATTATTGCAGTAAAATTTGACAAATGTGTTCAAATCTATCGTTCTAATGATGTTGCACATAGTTTCATTAATAAAGAGATCTTTTACATTTCCTCATGAAGATGAATATCACTCATATTTGCTTGAACTGAAAACTAACAATCATTTTCACACATTTCGTAAGTTGGCTCTGTAATTAATTACTCTTGCATATCCTTTTATTTTTCCATTCATTCTGAATTTCAGCTTCTGGGAGAGAAGAATTACTGCGAATTAATCTCCGGGAAGTAGAAATAGAAAAGGATGTTGATCTAAAAGTTATAGCAGAACGACTTGATGGCTATTCAGGAGCAGATATTACTAATTTATGCAGGTTTGTGTTTCAATCTTTGTTTTCAAATATCAATCAATTTAAAACTTTGTCTACTTGTTATATTTTTTTATTTGTTGTTTCACTCTCTATACTTCCATGGTTTAATTAGAAAGTTTGGTTTATAGAAGTAAAAAAACTTTCTGGAATTAAGAAGTGAGAATGTTGCTGATTTTTCACCACCTTTTTAAAGTTGAAATCAATAAATTTTATTAATTTTAGCAATTTAAAAAAAATTACCTGCTATGACAGCCATCATAATACAATCAAATGACAAAAGCAGAATAAACTTTGGTAAATTCATGACAAAGTAATAATAATAACCTGTTACAGATGAACTTTTAAAAGAAGTTAAAATTTAATATATTTCATGAAAAAATTTTGAAGTTTAAAACTTTTTTTTGTGATTACTATAAATACAATATTTCCTACTTCAATATTATTACTTTTACATTATTTTAAGAGATAATGGAACAAATAAATTTCTCATCTTAAAAATTCTTATTTTATGATTTTTAAGATAAGCATATTGTCTGAAAGTATATATTGCGTATTACGTTTTTGTTTAGTTACATTTGCATTACTGTTAATTTTCTCTCTAATCAATACTTTTCAGAGTCTTAGCTAATACAATAAATTGCTTTGTTTTTTTTTTTTTCTGATCTATGATAACTTGTATAAGACAATAAAAGAGATAAATAATTAAATCTGTTTCTCCATCAAGTTCGGCAGTAAACATTGCCACATTTTGGACATTACTTTTCTGTTTTTAAAGATGTTTAAAAAATAATTAATGTCAGTTTATATATCATCTTAGTTTAAAGTTTCCTTACTATATTTTTACCAATGAACAAGAATTTATAATTAATTTTGTAATTAATATCTGCCTTTAGAGATGCAGCTATGATGTCTTTTCGTCGACGTATTGCTGGATTGACCTCAGAACAAATCAGAAATATTCCAAAAGAAGAGCTTGAACTTCCAACTAGCATGGCTGATTTTGAGGAATCTATAAAAAAAGTCAGTAAGAGTGTTTCCCAAGAAGATCTGAAAAAGTATGAAGACTGGATGAAAGAATATGGATCTGTATGAGAAGTTTTATTGGCACTTTTGAATTTTGGTTTAAAAATGAGATTTTATATAAAATTTTTGTCATTTGTCTCTTGTAAAAAAAAAGAATACCTGACTCCAGTGTTAATTTATGAAACATCTGTGATTCTAAGCACAGTAGAATCTTCATTTTTATATTAAATAATGTTGAACATTTTCTTTTGATTTTTTTTTTTTTTTTACTTCTCAAAATAATTGAAGAGACTCGCTTTGAAAAGCAAGTATTAGTCTCAAGTTAAAATTGTTCATTATACTTTAAACAATGAAAAGGTTGCAGTGGTAAGTTTTATAACTTTTGATAATTTGTACATGACATTTCTTGATATTTAAATTAATGGATATTTTTTCAATAAAATTTGAAATAAAAAAAATTCAGTCAATATATATAGATTTTGTAACATCTATTTTATATATTTCATTTGTACTCTGCTTATTTCATTATAGTTTGTTTCAATTTATGAAAATCATTCTTCCAACTGTATTTTATTTACAGTCTTATGAAGATGGCACAAGATTTCATTTTTTAAAAGAATTTTAACAATCTGATATTGAAGCCTTAAACAAAACTATTTATAACTCCTTAAAATTATCATTCCAAGTTTTAGGTGCCTAGTTCCTTATTGGTCAAATGAATCAGACAGAATGTGAGAACAAGAAAAGCATCAGAAAAATTGGGTTGAATAGTTTGAACAGTTCTTGGCACCAACTTAAACCAAATGAATTACCAGACCAACTTATAACAACTACAAGTAACAATAAATTGCAACCAAAAGAAAGTCCAATTAAAGAAGGATTATGAGTGGAAAGTCAACAAAACACTTAATTGACTACCTCATTCATTACTTAGATTTACTGAAGAATAGTCTGAATTGAAAGGCTGCCAGTTAACTACTCTTTAGTAGTGCTATTAAATAAGTTTCTTATAAATTCCATGAGGTCTTGCATGTCTAAATTTTATTTGAATAGATTACTATAATTTGGGAAAATTGATATATTTTTTAAATTCTCTTTTTAGCAGTGTCAGTAATTCTACATCTCCCTACCCAACTATGAAAATATATATTTATCCAATAGCATTTATTTTTTACTATGGAACAATTATCTTTTCAATTTTATAATTGAAAATGTTTTTCATGTAGATTAATTTTTTTCATAGGCTTGTACTTAAAAAATTCAGTTTGTTGACATTTCAGTTTAGTTTATGAAATACTATAAGTTGTGTAATTAAATTTGCCATTTTTATCCTTTTAATTGAGAGTTAATTTTTCTGTTTGTATTTTGAGAATTTCATGTAATGTTTGGTTGGGCTTCTACATTGATTATTTTAAATTTCCTTTTAAGTTTTTTAACTGCAGAATTTTTATGTTTAGGTCAGTGAAAATATTAAGAAATTAATACATATAAAATATTCTTTCTAATTTGGTACATAGTTAAAACTTTTAAACCTTGCTATTTTACTGATGTTCCCAGTATTGATTTAATTAATAAAATGATTTTTATAGGATCACAAAATCATGATATATTTGTAGGTATTTAATAAATCTATATCTATAATTCTCAAAATGTGTGTGCGTATTTATGTGTGTGATTGGATGTTGTTTATGCATTTCCACAGTTTTCATCTGATATCAATTAAATTTTTTTGTTTGATAGTGTTGATTTTGGCTGGAAAAAAATTACAACCTTTAAGTTGAAAAATCGAAAAAAAACTGATATTTTACACCGTGCAAAAGTCAAAGGCAAGATTTAATGTCTATAAAAAAAAAAAAAACAACAAACTGTGTATAATCAATTTAGAGAGTTGAAATCTAACGCAAAATATGCGCAATGAAGAGACAGTCATGTAGCATTTACAGGGGTGTTCAATGTGTGGTTGTACAAGGCAATAGGCATTTTTTTTGGAAAGGGGTTGATGATGCCTCAAGCAAGATAACTTTTGTCAGGGACATCCTATTTTCGTCATTTTTCCTGTTAAACATCTGCTCAATTGTAGCGAACCTAAAATAAGTTTTACAGGTGCAAGACCTCAGTGATGTACCTCAAAGTTGAGGAAACATTCTGCCTGCATACGAGTAAACCCACTTATTCTGCAACTGTATGTGTCCATTTACTAAGTTTTGTTTGTTTATATTCTCTGTTTCATTTGCCTAATACATTTCCTAATATTACTTTTTCACACATAACCTTTCAATCATAGATCATGCTGTGTGGGTGTGATTCACACTTCCACATGTTGCCCATTAGTTGCTGCTGACCTTGATATTTAGCTTGTGCAGCAATGCGTGTAAGTGTGGCCCTGCAACACACACTGATGCTCGCACATACACATGACCTATGAAACACGACACCTGTTTGAGGTGCTGATTCGCTGCACGAAGCCCCTTTACATATCAAATATTGCCATGTCATACTGATTGTCTACGCAGTTTTAAGCTCATTGCTACTGCTTAATTCCGCTTCTACTTCTGTACATCCAGCCCAGCTTACACATTCCCCTTCTCTTGGCCAAGTGTTCAATCTCTCAAGTGAGGTTAGCTTTTCCCTTGCATAAAACCAACTACTACAGTTTTAATGTGTTGCTTTCATTGAAGTTTATAGCCATTCCCAATTTAATTTTTTTTTTTATTGTCCTGCTAATTTTTGTATTGCATTCACCATAGTAATAAGTAAGCTTGCTTTTTATTACTCAACATTTATTTTTCCAACTTTTCCTAAAGTTATTTGAACTTAGTGATTCCTGTAGCTTTTCAGTGTTCTCTTCTGGTATTTGCCCACACATTACATTTGATAATTCATACTTGCCTAAGACATGCCACCAAAGAAAAGAACTTGCCTAGATTGCAAAACCACTGCCACCAGATCTGCTATGCAAATAAGGGATAACAAATCGTCTTTAGAACATTCAGTTCACCTGTCTCAAAATGCCTCTCAAAATGCTTCAATCAGAGCCACTGAGTCCGAAGATCAACGTAACCATCGGCTTTCCAGAAGAGCTTCTGAACGCTTCTGCATGTTGTTGTATTTGCCGATCGACACATAAACAACGTGGAGCAAATAAGGTTTACAGTCAACAAAGAAGTAAAATGATTCGGTCTTACCGTGCAGGTATTTGTAAAATGGAGTTGAGATGAGTCGGCGATGATTTCTCGCTGCACTTAGAAAAGAGAGATGAAGATTGGAGTGTGAGAACATACGTTTATTTCCTTAAGGCATTTTACAGGAAGTCGCTCTACAGCGGAAGTCCTAGTTCCCTTTCTGTCCGCAGTTAATATACATGTGTATGTGTATATATACACACACATGTATGTATACATATAACATCCCCCCTCCCAAGTTCTTTATTATTGAGGATACAATTTCTTTACTTTGTAAAATCCTGCATCCATCGAGGTTGATGTATTAGTCATCCTGATCTGGTTCGGACTCCTGATTCTGAAACGGCTGGACATGGTTCTCGTGAATTAGGTAGATGAGGTTGTCTGGTTGCGCTGAATATTGTATCAGGATATGATTGTGATGCTAGCGTCTTTGAACAGGGTACTTGCAGTATATGTCGACGGTTTGGCGTATACTTCTACCATTCTCCGTCAGCACTATGTATGATTTGGGTTGGGAGCAACGTTCAGTCACTACTCCTTTCCTGGACCAAGTTTTGCCATCATGAACACGGACCTGGTCACCAATCTTAAGAGGAGTTAGCTCCCGTTGATGGCTATCACATTGTACTGTCTGTCTGTGATTTGGATTTGCCTTTTGATGATCATGATTATTTTTTCTCATGATTGGTAGCAGTGTTCTCAGTTGGCGATTCATTAGCCTAGCTGCTGGTGAAGGAGAGTTGTCTTTGCCAGGTGTTTATGCAAGCGTTAGTAGCGCAAGATATGGATCATCTCCTGTCTGGAAACATTTATGCAATGTTTTTTTCACTGTTTGGATAGTCCTCTCCACTAGACCATTGGACTGTGGATATTCTGGGCTGCTAGTTACATGGGAAAAATCCCATTCAGTGGCAAATTTTTTATATTCACTTGACTTAAATTGAGGGCCATTGTCAGAGATTATTAGTTTGGGAATCCCATGTTTAGCGAAGATGTTTTTTGTCCGATTAATCACCGTCAGTGCTGTTGACTTATTTCAAAAAATTTCGAGTAGTAGTCCACTACCATGAGGTAGTACTTCCCTTGCAGTCTGAAGAGGTCTGTGCCAACCTTATGCCAGGGTTGGTCTGGTATGTCATGTGGAATCTGTGGCTCTGTACTTTGTCGGTTGCTATATCGTTGACATGAATCACAATTTTTTACCATATCTTTGATTTCTTTGTTCATGTTCGGCCAAAAAGAGCCTTCCTGGCATTAGATTTAGTTTTTTCAATTCCCTAAATCGCCTGATGCAGAATTCTGCGCATTTCTGCATGCATACTGAGTGGTACAACAATTTGTGAACCCTTCATTACCAGCCCCTTATAGCGCGTTAAGTCATTTTGGCAATTGAAATAAGGGTGAAGACAAGGGTGCAGGTTGTGTCGATGTTGTGGCCATCCAATCATAATTTGATGTTGCAGTTGTTGTAACGTTTGGTCATTCGCTGTTTCAGTTGTGAGCTGTTGTTGATGTTTGTCACTGATGGGTATGGAGGACATTATGGAATGGACAAAAAAGTTCATTTCTTTGTCAGAGATTTCTGGTGTGTTGTGTTCTTTTTCTGTGCTGCACGGCTGAGTGTGTCAACAACATGAATTAGTTTGCCTTGAGTGTATGCAACTTCAAAGTCATACTTCTGTAGACGCATTAAGAAACGTTGTATTCTAGGGGGTGCTTTCGCAATGGGTTTTGTGACAATGGATTTTAGAGGTTTGTGATCATTGTTTACTATGAAACGTTGTCCATACAAGAATTCGTGGAAATGTTCACAGGC